AAATAGAAAGACAACTGTTTTAAAACCTGCTTTTAGGAACACTAAGAGCATCCTGTTTTATTTAAAGAAAAGAAATGAGCAAACTTTTGCATTTCTGCAGAATGAAGACAATAATTTAGCCTGACCGAAGCTTCCCTGCCCTTTTCCTGATTTAAACATGTTAGACCCTGGTTCCAACCAGTGTTCTAAAGTGAAGAAAAAGACTTTCCATTATGAACTCTTGACCTTTGAATTAACAGGTGAATTTATTGTCTTTAAAAAAAAAACCACATGGGATTTGTGACATTTTAAATTGAAATCTCAAAGACTCCAACTAGTTCAAGTGCTCCAGTGTTTTAAGGAAAGGAAATCAGCCTTAATATTTGAACAGGTTAGTCCAGAGTCACAGTAAGACTTCAGAGGGCCCTGCCAGCACAGAACCTGGCACATGAAAAGGAAACATATGGAGTAGGAGAGGACGCTGGGTCCCCTCCCTCCTCCACTCACTGCTGGGACCACCTACATCACGTTTTCATATGGAAGGGCTATTTGGTTTTACAGAAAAGACTCATGAGACAAAAAAATCTAGAATGCTAAAATTGTACTCAGGCATACTTTGTATAGAATACATCATACTTTAACATATCTACTTTGATATTCTCTCTCTCTCTCTCTCTCTCTCTCTCTCTCTCTCTCTCTCTCTGTGTGTGTGTGTGTGTGTGTGTGTGTGTGTGTAGCCTTAGGTCTCAAAAACATCACCATCATCCCAAGTTTCCCTTAACTTGAGGAATTAATAAGATTATAATTCTTAAGGAACAAAAGGGTACCAAATGCTTTCTGGATGCAGCACCCAGAAGAGGCTCAACCAATTTACAGGCCTATGGCACCAGGCATTTGTAAAAATACAGTCTTCATTTGGCGCTGAAATAGGTGTGGTGGTGAAGAAGACTATATTATAAGCCCAAGTAAATTAGGACTGTGACATTTGCTTGGGTCTCATAAAACCGAAGTACTGTGGTCAATGCCTTTGCAGGTCCCTAGGGTTCCCAGAAGAAAGGGCCTTCGGCTTGAGGTTCCCTGTGTCATCAGGCCCCTTCTGCAGCCCCTTAGAGCCCCCTAGAAACTATAGCTTTGCCTATCCTGCGCACAATGGCTAGAGAGGTCCCAAAAGCCTTAAACACAAAGCTCTTGAAGCTTCCCGAGTCCAGAGAATATGCAGGTTTTCCAGGTCAGGGCCGCCCCGACGGCCCAAGCGCGGCACTCGAGAGGCCAGTAGGTGTCGCTGTTTCCCTGCCGGCAGGAGCCTGGAGCCCGACGTTGGCCCCTAGCACCACTCAGCTTTAGGCCGCCCGGGTGTTCGCCCAGACTCCCCCGAGCTCCAGGGTTGGGACCGCTCCCTCATTCTATTCCCCCTAAAGCCTGCCTTGGCTCCCTTGGCCATGGCCACAGCAACCGTGGTCGGCCTAAGGAAACATCTATGGAGACAGAAAGGAGAGACGAATTTGGTGGGGCCCAAAGGCCGTCCCTACGGAACAGGCTGAAAGCCTGCTTCATCCGCCCCCCCCCCCCCGCCCCCAGGGTCCCTCCTTTCTCTTCACGAGCCCAGCGAGGGCGTGGGGGTGGGGGTAATGGGGAGCACCATGGCAAAACCCAAAATTGAGGAATTCAGACTCGATTCTACTTTGAAAATAAACAAGAGGTTCAAAACTAGCTTCGCGGGAACTAGTCACAAAAAGAGTTTTCATATCCTTGTCTCAAAAGACCAAGGAAGGAGGTCGAGGGGGAAGGGAGGGGGTGCAGAATGCTAGGCCTGGACCGTTAGCTACCTCTGATTTTGCCCACATGCCTGTACGCAGAATGTCGGGTGAATGCATTGGTCACCCTTGCTCTAGCCCAGAAAGGAAATTTTGAAATACACTAGTCTTCCCCATCGCCCTCCCCAAAGCATTGCTTACTAAGTATTAATCTCCGTTGGATAGGGTTAGCTCATCTTTGGAATCTGTATTAAAATTCTAGGTATTGAGAATTCTGTTCCTTTCTCCGGCGTCCTGCGGGCCCCTGGCTTTGGCTCAGTATGCCGCGTAAGCGATTATTAATCAGAGGCGTTCTTTTTGTGTCTTTCAAGGGGGTGGGGGGTAGGGGGCATTTGGCTTGCAGATTCCAAGAGAGACACTCAACAATGGTCTTATCCTATAGATGGCTGGAGATTTTATTACGATCCAGATTTCTTTGCATGGAGACTTCACTTCTCTGATTAGAAGGTGGTAAGGGGATGGCATGGAACACCTTAAATCCAGTCTTGTGCAGTCGCAACATGCACGGTGGAAATGGAATTAGCTCCATATTTAATCTGAGTCCAAAATAATATCTCCAGTCAAGAGTTTGGTGTAATTTTTTTTTTAAAAAAAAAAGAGCCATACTGCTGTGTTTTGTGTAAAAGTAAAACATTCTTAAAGAGGAAAAACCATAGCGATTATGAAACTAGAAGACAGGGAAGAGATTCTCACTTAAAGTCCCAAGCATATTGGGATAATTTTGTTGTGGTGTCTAGGCTGAAGCATCAGCCTCCCAGGACGGCAGCGCAAGAGGCTGCGGATTCAAAGGGAGGCTGAATTTTTAGCCAGAGTTGGCAAATATCTTCATTAAATGTCACGCCCTTTGCTATGTTCCATAAAATTAGCTCCTTCCTTTAAAGTCTTATGTCTGTTCTACAATTTTAAACAATCATTTCTGATGGAGACAGCAGATTTATCTCTGGGGGTGGGGTAGGACGGGCACGTGTCTAATTGTAGGTTGTGAAGTTCAGTGAGGTGGTATTTTTAGCTTGAAAGGCTCAGATTCATGTATTTGGATATTTCTTCTGGTCTCATCCTTTCCGTTTCCCCCTCTTTCATTCACTCGACCCTTTCTCTTTTTCCGCTCTTTTTTCCCTTCTCCTCTCTACAGCGCCTCTAGCCCTTCCCTTTCACTTCTATTTCTCGCCTCTTTTTCTCTTTCCCGCTCCCTTTCTTGTATAATTTATTGTCTGATTCCATCAGTCAAGTTAATATGAAACTAGGAAGAGGGAGGCCCATCACCCTTATCTGGCCCTCTCCCCGAAGCGCTTAAGAGACTTTAGATGTCGGTAGCTGCCGGGTTATGGACCAGCGCGGTGGTCCTAGGTGCAGAGCACTCCGCTTGTGCAAGAGTTGGGGGTCCGCCTGGGGTTGCGGGGCTTATTCAAATACCGCCCGCTGCTGCCGTGATTCGCAGGGACTCGGCCTCCATATGGTAATGCGGGGCGGGGGGTGGGGTGGAGGGAGGCGCAGAGGGGAGGGGAGGAGAGGATGGGGGTGAGGGCGGGAGGGAGGGGGCTCGCGACACCGCTCGCTCTGCCGCCGTGCTGGGACAGAGCACCCGGACCCGCGGCAGCGGCGACAGCGGCGCTACCCACCCTCTGCTGCAACACCCACCGAGCCAGGAAGCCACCAAGCCATGGGCCCTCGGGGTAAGCCACAGCGCGCACACCGCAGCGATGGTGAAGCCAATGAGGGAGATTAGAAACAGAAAAGATTACAGAGAGATCAGAGATAAGAGGTGTACCTCTCTCTGTCCCTTGTCACACAGCGCGCGTGCACATGCATCTGTACACACATGCATGCTCAGACAGCAATACATTCCACATTCCTTGTTACTGCCATCTAAATACATGCACCGACACTCTATGCCCTGCAACGTGGCCGGTGTGTTTGTCCTGATCCTGCATAAAAGCGGGCAGGTATGTGCCGGAGTCCAGGCAAGAATAAACAGCCACGCACAATTGAATTGCAGCCAAACTCAGACATTCAGCCTGCTGAATTGATTCATTCGGCCCGTTTCCCCCCACCCCAACCGGAATTCTGTAACCAGTCATGGAATTCTGCAATTATTCATAAAATGTGCTGAAATTTTACCTCAGGAAACGTAATCTTGCTATATATGGCAAGGTAAGGGTGAACCTGGAGGGTGGATGTGTTTCCATTTTTTAATGTTTTACGCATAGCCATCTGACCACTTTTTATTGGGTGACATATCATATGAGCACTTTCGTGTAGGCTTGGAAAAACTGTAGCCAGAGGTAAGACTGGAAAATGCCATAAGAATTAAGGGTGCTGAAAACGGATGCTAGGGAGTGCAACATGAAAGATGGCACACAGCTGTAGGTTTGAGATGGGAGGAAATCCATGTGAATTTTTATACACAAAAGCCATTGGGGAGGGCTGAGTATCTGTGCAGGTAAGTCATTCATAAGCAAACTAATTACCTGTGCATGTACTCGGACTTGTTTAATTGAAAGAGCTGCATGTGTGCACATTTCCTGTTCTTTGTGGTTATGCAATTATGGATTGGGTCTTTTTTACATGATAGCTTTAGGGAATGTTAATATATAATTTAAATATACATATATTCAATAGTCATTGTGCCGGATAGGTATATTGCCAAGAAGGAAAAATCCTATCCTATAAACAAGATTACTATTGCTTGAAATCCAGCTCAAGGCCTGTATATTTTAAGGTACATCAACTGGGTTAATATAGTTAACTGTTTTGTTTGTGTATTTTCACTTCAAAGTCTGGAATTAAGGATGATTTGCAATCAAGATAATACGTTTTCATCCATATTGAGATAAAATAAAACTCAGTACATTATGAATCCTGCAGACAGGACACAACATACAACACGGTTGAAAATGTCTTCCTTGCAGAAGGGTGTCCATTGCTGTGTCTACACATTTTAAAATAGATTTTTTTTTCACAAGAAATGCTAGAAAGCAATAGGTGGTGAATACCGCATTCCCTCAGTTAATCAGCACAATTCCCTAGTAATCTGGAATCCCTTCACTCATACGTACTTTTCTCAAATGTATTGGCTCCAACCTGTGTTTCGACTAATAAGAAGTTAATCAGACAATCAAACTTTGAGTCTCAAAACAGTAGGCAGTATAGTTAATGGAGGGGTAGGTAAAGAAAGAAGAACGAAATGTGTTTCTTTTATGATCACACACTAGGATGTTCTCCAGTTGGCAATGCATGCGTAACGCATATGCATATTTGTAATCGTAAGTAAACAAAAGAAGGGAGGCAACTGTGTATATAATCCAGCTAGAGATAGCAGCAGACACTAGCCAAAAGGAAAAAAAAGAAAGAAAAAGGACTGACAGAAAGGACAACAGAGGCAGACAGACATATAAAACAGGAAGAAAAAAGGAGGGGGCGGGGAGTCAACAAAAATGTAGAACCAGAAATTTTCAAGGAATTTTTTAAAAATGCAAATATATCTTTACATATGCATCAGTATTAAAAATAATACACGCTGGACCCAAGGGTAGCTGTAGCAGGAGGAGGAGGAAGAGGAGGAGGAGAGGCGGAGGAGTAGAGGAGGAGGAGGAGGAGGAGGAGGAGGAGGAGGAGGAGGAGGAAAGAATGGAGGCGCGGGGCCCTGATTATGCACGGGCCGGAGCTGCCTCCTCTAACCTGTTCTCGGAGCAGGGCAGCCGGCCGTCCTCAGCCGCCCACAGAACAGGAGCCGAAACAACCGTTCCCGAAGGCTACAGCGTTTATTTTTCTCTTTTGGGGGATTTTGGCGGTTGTTTCAGGGGCTAGCCAACTGGCCCCTTTAATTAAAAGCTTCAATAAAAGGCGGTCGCTCCAGGAATGCACCCTCTCCTCTTCGCGCAGGATTTGCATATTTTTTTAATGCCCTAATTTCCTTGATGTATGTAAATGTAGCCGGACGTAGAGGGAGACAGGGAGCTGACGTCAATGGACGTGACCTCGCAGCTAAACCTTGAACGTGAAACCGGGATGGGGGAAAACACGGAGCGGCAGCCGGTGGAGCCCGAAAGCCTGTGTGGCAGTCTCTATCGGTGGCCGAGCCCGAGCCGGAGGTGCCAAGGGCGCCCTTGCCAGTCCCAGGGGGGGACAAGCCGCTGCCTGGTTTCTGCCCGCGGCAGTTGCCAGCCTCGCCAGCCCTCCCGCGGCATACACAGACCCGAGCTCTGCGCCTCCAGCCCCACCAAATACAAGTTCTTTTCTTTCCCCAGGAAAAAGAAAGAAACAGACACACACACACACACACACACACACACACACACACACACACACACGCACACACGCACACACACACACCTAAAACAACAAACCAAAAGCAACAGATTAACAAACAAAAAGAATCCCAAGTGTTTTTGAACAACGCTTGGGTCGCTTGTCAGAAAGAAGATTGACAATGGAGCATCATTTTTTTTTTTTTTAATCTCTCCACAAGAAGAGGAGAGGGAGACAACAGACACCAGCAAAACATTCCTAAAACACGATATGCCACACATGTTCCCAGTAGGGAGAGGTAAATGGCCCAGCCAAATGGTGAGGGCTTCTCTTTTTGGTACCTGTTTACCTGTGAACAAATTATACTTGTCAGCTTCATTAATAGCAGTGCCAGGAGCGAGAATTTTATTGTAGTGGGAGGGACGTGTGTGTGTGTGTGTGTGTGTGTGTGTGTGTGTGTGTGTGTGTTGGAAGGTGCTTAGGCTGGTGAGCACGGAGGGAGGCGACTTGGGGCAAGAGACCAGTCTTTGCATGGCCAGGTCTGGTGACTTGTCTGGGGAGTTATCCGGCCAAGGCTGCGGGGCTGGGGCTCGAGTTTCCCCCTCGGAAGAGGTACGCCTAAAAAGGCTTCCCCTGGACAGCCAGGCCCTTCCGATCGCATTGTCTGCAGAAGGGGACTTGAGGTGGGAGCCATCATCCCCCTCGGCTGCGGCTCGGATTAGGCCTGGTGTCTTCTTCTGCGAGCTCAGCTGCTTCTCCGTGGAGGCAGCGGCGCCGGGCGAGCAGGGAGGCCTGCGGGCTGGGCTCGCGGGTGCCCGCGCACCGGGCGGGGGCCGCTGGCACCTCCCTGAGCACGCCGGGCCCCGCCTGCGACCGCCACCCGCTCCGAGCCGCGAGGGTTTGCTCGCGGGCCGCCGTGGAGCTAAGGGCACCAACCTGCCGGCAGGCTAGGGAGAGGCGCTAGAGGCCGCGGCGTCAGCGTCCCCGGGCAGCCCTGTCTGATTCCACCTCGCAGCCCAGCTTTGTTTTCCTGACCTGCTCGCCGCCACCGGGCCGCGTGCCTGCGAGGGGAGTGTGTGCGTGTGCGTGTGCGTGTGCGTGTGCGCGGAGGCCGCGTGCGTGTGCGCGGAGGCCGCGTGCGCGCGCGGCGGGCGGGGACCCTCCCGCCAAGGACACGCTTGGCTGGCTGTCCTCCGGCTGCACTTGGCGGGAAAGCTGGGGGCCGGCGGCCGGGCAGGGCGCCGGCAGCTCTCAGGAGAGCCTCCCTTCTGCTCCCCCCGGCCGCAGGGACAGACGGGCGGCCGTCGAATTTTTTTTTTTTTTTTTTTTTTTTTTTTTTTTTTTTTTTTTTTTTTTTTTTTTTTTTTTTTTAAAGATTTATTTATTTATTATGTATACAGCATGTATAACTGCAGGCCAGAAGAGGGCACCAGATCTTGTTACAGATGGTTGTGAGCCACCATGTGGTTGCTGGGAATTGAACTCAGGACCTCTGGAAGAGCAGTCAGTGCTCTTAACCTCTGAGCCATTGCTCCAGCCCCGGCCGTCGAATTTTTGCAGAGCACCACCCCCTCCTCGCCCTGGGTCGCGCAGGCTCCCACTATGGCCCCGGGCTCCTAGGCCAAGGCTGCCTCCAGCTCCGGGCGGGCAAATAGGCCCAAGGGAGCAGACAGCCCTCACCGGGACAGATTCCTGCACCGCCTCCCCCTCCTCCCACGCGCCCGCACGCACCCCTGACAGCCTCCTGCTGGTGTTGCAGGATCCCCTCCTTCCCTGAAAGCCCCCACCTTTCCTTCTACACACTTCCAGCCCCTCCTCCTGCACCTAAGCCTCTCTGGCACACACACACACACACACACACACACACACACACACACACACACACACACGCTTTTTCTTCCTTCGCAACCTTTATCATGCATGATGCCTGGTACCTTTTGAATAAAACTGGAGTTTAGAGAAGACAAATCCTTAATGTATTCCTTGTCTTTAGCGAAACACTAACCAACAGGATGGGGGGGAGGGCGGCTTGAACCAAAAGACCTATTTACAAAAAAAAAAAAAAACTCTGCAAGTCAAAAGGTCATTCTACAAGTTTGTAAATAAAATTGCGAAGGGAACCCCGAAAGAAAGGGGGAAAAGGAGGTAGGGAGGCAGAAAGGCCCACAAGTTAATAAAATAGTGCTCGGGGAAAACAAGACAGAGGGATTCTTTTTAAAATGTGTCTAAGAAACCAAGAGAAGAAAAAAAGGAAGAAAATAAAAGGTAGAAAAGGCAAAATAAGTTTCCAAAGAAATGTGTGCTTTGCATCCTACAATAGGAAAATGTAGCCATTGCCCTCCTTCAGACGAGACATTTCTAATTTGTTCCGTCTGTCAGGAGGGGACTATGAGAGGTTTGGGTGCAAATTCATTATCTCTGGCAACGCAGAACGTAGTGTGGGGACTGCAAAAGACCGTGGCAATGGATGAACAATAGGGCTTCAGTTCATCAGTAACAAAAGCAGTGGGGAAATTGGTTGAGTTTCAGAGCACGTCCTCCTCGGCAGAGGGGGCTGGACTAGACCTTGGACAGCCCCCCCAAAAACTTGCCGAGCCTCGCACACACCACTTCACTCTGCACTCAGAGGCTCAGGGAGCAAGTGCTTGGAGTGGGGGGGAAAGTTGGCTTTTTCCCCCTCCTTGGTCTTTAGCGCCCTTCTCTCTCCCTCAGAAGAGAAGAGCGGCGTAAACTATTTTAGACGCAATCAAGGAAGAATCGCCCACCATGTGGAATTGAGCGGCAGTTTTAAATGTACTAAGAGAAGACTGATCAGGAAAAAAAAAAAATTTTTTTTTTCCCTTCTTTTTTGGAGACGCCTAAAGGAACCTGTTTGTGTGCTGTGGCCACGTTCTGCTGTGACTGGATCTTGTCTTCTGCCTGGAGGCTCGATTTCGGTCCGTCTGGATTTGGGGGAACAACACTGCCTGGCGCAGGGACATCCAGTGAGTATCTTGGCTGCGTGAAGGCTGCAAGCTCGGCCGGCGGCGCCAGGCCCGCAGTGCCGGTAGTTGTCCGGTACCTACACCAAGAGCCGGCCAAGGGCCGCTCCGAGGGCCAGTCCGGGGCTTTGCTTCAGCTAATTGATTGTATGTCTCCAATGCCAAACCTGTTGATCTCGTGAGTTGTCCGAGCCAGGACTGTTAATTATCCTTCGGGCTGACCCCTAAACGCAGAGAGATGCCAGGAAAAATTCGCACAGGGAAAAGAAATTTTGTATGTACATTTTCGGTGTTGGTGGCGGGACTTTCTTCTCTTAGACGCAGTGCTAAATACAATAGTGCTTTGCGTTCTTGAATTCTGGGTTCTCGTTTTGAATAATTTGCCTATTTTGAATGGCCCCAAAGTTTCGGTTACCTGGCGCTGAAGCCGCTGTCTGATTAGATACTGGTGGAAAACTTGTACGATAGCTAACTGTATCTGGTAAATTTTCTCCTTTTTCTGCTTTCTGGATTTTGGAGGGGAGAGGCCACTTTACAGGGCTGTCCGGAGTTTAGCTTTAACCGAAATGCAACCTTCATGGTTAGTTACTGGTACTTGGAGCCATTCAGCTTCAGACGCCTTTGGAATCGGAGCGAAGCCTGTTCTTCCTTAGCTTAGAGCCCAAAATCAACTGAAGGCAAGACCTTCTTTCGGTGGTGAGGGACTATCCGCAGAAAATCCCGGGCGAGGAGAGCCCTAGCAATGTATTTTTGCATTAGGATCTGCGGCGGCGTTTTTTTTTTTTTTTTCTCTTGCAAATGTGGCGACGGTGCTTGAATGGAGTACTGTCTGAAGGGGTCAGGGCAATTCAGGGGAATTGATCAGAAGTTAGACCCCAGGCCCTGTCAAGTCACGGCCACGGCCGTGGGGTGGGGGTGGGGGTTCAGAGCTGTGGCTGCCTTGGCCCACAAGGATGAAGTCAGACCGTTTTCTCCCTCTCTTGGTGCCCACACCTGCCTACCACCTCTATCTCCGTCTTGGCACCAGTAACTAGGGCAATGGCAGGAACGAGTCACTGCAGTCATCATAATTGAACCGGTGTAGTACTTTCATTTTGCAAAAACAACACGGCTCCACCCCTCCAGTCCAAAATAATAGTAAGAATCAAAAAACCATTAAGAAAAAAAAAAAACCCAACCTATTTTCGGGAGTATGTAAGACTTCCTAATATTGGATTGTAGGGGTGGGGTGGGGGAAGGGTATGAAAATCCACCACTTTACAGCAATCAGGTTTTACATTATTCATTGATTTACTAAAGGAAAGAGCCAATCAGGAGCCATAGATGTGAATGCACATCTCACTGTGCCGTGTGGCCTTACAGTAAACTATTTGCATCTTCCTAATGGATTAGACATTTATCCTGGGATTCCCATTGTTTGAGAGGCCAGGAAATTCAGTCCCTTAAACATTTAGAAAATAAGACTTTGTTCCAGACTTAAAATCCTTGCATGGTGGGGCTCTCTCTTCTCTTTTGTATGGCAGGTTACAAGGTTCAAATCCCTAATGTTTCTTAAGTCTCTCTTCTTTCCAAGCTAAAAATAAAAGGAGAAAGAAAAATTAATTTCCCCAACCCCTCTAGATCCTGCAGATTTTGCATTCCCATTATCATGCATGTCTCCATTTAAATGCAAATTAGCATATTTAACCCTGTGGGTGCTAAGGCCCAAGATACACAGTACTGGTGTTTTATATAATCTTCTGGTATTTTAAGGAATCCCAGTAATTGTTATACTTTAAATTAAATCTATATATTATGGTGATGATATATATAAACTGTGATCATTTGTTTTATTGCCTATTTTTCAGATGAGACTTCAAAGAAGCATAAAATGAGCAGACTATTCAATCAAACAAAGGTAATTTAAGATTTTTTATTTGATAAAATATGACTGATGTACAAAACCAAAATAGTGTATTGTTTACTGGCGGACAGGTTTGCAGTGTATTACATATTTCCCCTTGCAACAGC